GTAAGACTGCACCTGTAAGATTGTAGTTAAGCATATTGCTAAGTAACATTAATAATGTGATTATTGTTTTTTGATTATTGCTATTGATTATTATTGGAAAATTTTATTCAAAGCTGTAAGAGTATATAAACTGAGCTTTAGATAGAATAGATGACTTCACGACTTCACAACTTTACAATAAATGACTTCTTGCTTTCACCTAAGCGGAGTCCTGTCTCTCAGTTGCTGACAGTACACAGCAGTATTTATCTCTGCCTTGTCTCTGGAGCCTTGTCTCTGGAGCAAAGTTACACCATGAAGCAGGTTCCCTTAAACCTGGCAACGGGTAACAGTGATGGCAGGCTAACTTCTGTAAAGGTAAAAGCTAACACATTCTGAGAAATCTTTCCCTTCATGAAAACTTGATCACTTCTCATCACTGCTCGGCTATCTGTAGAAGTACCTTTAGGAATTTTACTTAAATGGCTGTGCTGGGCTGTTTTCACAGCTTTTGAAATAATGAGTCCTTTCATAACTAGAGAGGTGCCTCCACAGAGTGAATTGCTGCAATAAATACGGAGAAGTGAAGCCAAGTAAAAAATCACTCAGCTACTGAGGTTGGACCCAACATTAGAGATGTTTTACTACAGAAGAATCAGACTTCTTTCTAGAGCAACCAAAGAAATTAAGCAGACAGTCCAGCTGAGCCCCCTGCCTCTGCCGTGCTTCTGGGAGCCACTAGGAAAGCTGAAGCAAAGATGCTTTGATTAATGTCAGTGCTGACAATGAAAGAACAAAGGATTCTGATAAAAGCCAGATACAGTCTATTAAAAAAAAAAATTAAAATAAATTAAATTTTAGGCAAACAGTTTGAAAGTCATAACAGGATTAGTCAGGTGGGTTACCAAGAAACCGTTAGCAGAAAAAGTTATTTAGCTGGTCTAAACAGTTATAAAGTTCTTGTAAGGGGCTCTGAGATTAAGAGGTATGGCCTAGACTTTTTTATCTTGAAATAAAATCCATATAAATATAATATTTACTATACTTCACAAAGTTATAATTTTTTGAAATCAAGATAATAATGATGTTTCTAAAGCAAGGAGAATTAATCTTTTGAATATTTAATATATTCAAATTTATATATTAAATAGAAATGGATATGTTTTTCTATCTGGATCAAATTTCCTTTAAAAGCCCAAGGCATTAATGTGTATGGTCAGATTTGTGTCTACTTACATAAAACAAAATTTTCAAATTTTCTCTCAGTGCAGTATTTTGGTCACATGACTGTAAGTATTAATATAAAATATCAAGAAGATACCATCAAACTTTACTTAAGAGAAATGTGATGGCTTTTAAAAAGCTACTAACTTTATCAGGGTATGTATCAGGGAACACGTATTAAAAAAGCACTTTTGCATAAGTTTTTAACAATGAAAGTCAGCAAAAAATATTATTTTAATTAAAAAAATCTGCCGGTGGAAATCAGATTCATTATATAAGTGTGTTTAGGAGCTGAATGTAATCCAGTCAATTATGCATAAATATTACTCAATAATAACAATAATAATGGAATAATAAAATTGTTTGGTTTGGAAGGGACCTTAATGATCATCTAGTTCCAAACCCTTATTGTAGGCAGGGACACCTTCCACTAGAGTAGGTTGTTTAAAGCCCCATCCAAACTGGTCTTGAACACTCTCAGGGTTTAAACATGCACAGATTCTCTGGGCAAGCTGTTTCACCCTCACAGTAAAGTATTTCTTTCTAACAAGTAACCTAACCAACTCTCTTTCAGTTGGAAGCTATTACTTCTTGTCCCATCACTACAGTTCCTGCTGAAGAGTCTCTCTATGGCTTCCCTATAAGCCCCCTTCAGATACTGGAAATTGGTGTGATGTCTCCACACAACCTTCTCTTCTCAACCTATCTTTATGAGGGAGGTGCTCCAGTCTGCTTGCCAACTTTATGGTCCTCCTTTGGACTTGTTCCAACATTCCTTGTATTTATGGTGGGGGTACCAAAACAGAACTCCAGGTGGGGTCTTACAGAGCAGAGTAGAGAGGCAGAATCATCTCCTTTGACTTGCTGACTACTCTCCTTTTGAGGCAGCCCAGGGCACTGTTGGCTTTCTGGGCTGTGATCGTACACTGCCAGGTCATGGTGAGTTTTCATCAACCATCACTCCCAAGTTCTTATCCATAGGGTATTGTCATTCATTCTCACCAACCTGTAGGTGGACTTAAAATTGCCCCGACCCAGCTGTCACTGGCTTTATTGAGCTTCATGAGGTTCACACAGCCCCACCTCTCAAGCCTGCCCAGGTCCCTCTAGATGGCATCCCTTCCTTCCAGTGTGTTGACTGCTCTACACAGCTTGGTGTCTCAGCAAATCTGCTGGAGGTGCACTTTCTATGTCATTGACAAGGATGCTGAACAGTACTGGTCTCACCACTGACTCCTGTGGGACACCATTTTCCACTGGTCTCCAGCTGGACAATAAGCTGTTGACTGCATAGACTGATAGATAATAATAGACTAATATACTCTCTGCCAAAATAAAAAGTGCAACAAAACAAAAAGAATTTTATTCCTTCAGGGGCTGCTTAGTGGTACTCTCACATTAAATCAGCAAGCAGACCAGATCACAAAAGTTAGCTGATTCAATGAAAGATTTAAAAGATGGGAATAATTTATAATTTGTTCATATTTAAAATGTAACTGGTACAAGAATGAGTCATCTTATACTGTTATTATAATTCTTGGCTAGAGTGACAGTGATGAAAAATTTTCCTGTCAGACCAAATATAGAAGAATGTGGGGTGTGTGTCTTCTAAACAAATAATGTTTAACAAAACTCCAAGTGATCTTATTTTTGCTACAAATGTGACATATTCTTGGTCATCTGTTGCTCATAACATTGATTTTCATTCCACTTGGTATCATACCTGCCTGAGTCAGCTCATGTTAATGTCAGAGATGATATATAAAGAATAAAAAACTGCATTTCAGCTGCTGAGGTTCAAGAGGAAGGAATGCAATATTAAACCAGAAGATACCTGAATTCGCCAGGTGAAATTTTCTTGTCTCTGCTTCATGGGTAGCCTTCTATTTTTATGTCACTAAAGAGTCAATGAATGAAATGGGCTAGGAGGGAACAGCAGGTGTTTATTTAGAAGGCAAATATGCTATTATGTAGCTTGTGGTCAGTGATCAGTACGCAAGTATACAAAGATTGGGTGTGGCTGTGATGGACTGTGACAAACAGCAAAGTGGCATGCTGATTGACCTGCGGAGCCCAGTGGAGAAACCAGTTAACACCAGTAAAATTCGTGAAGGATTTCTTTCTTGGCTGACATGCCATTAATATATGCCAGAGCTACTGTTAGTCAAACTGTGGAGCAGCATCTGCCATTTCCACAGACTCTTCAGTGATACCCATGGGTAAGATGGCATCTGGGTTTATGTAGGTTATGACAAATTGAGCAGTCCTTTCTCCAGTCACCAGCAGTTTCTCAGCAATCTCGCAAAGACAAAGAAATGTGTGGTCTCACAGTAGTACGCTCTCCTTCTTGCACATTAAACATGCATTGACCTGGCCTCCTTCCATATGTGATTGTTAAGCTTCTGTTCCTCAGTCACTGGTTTTTGTTAGCAGAATTGCCACAACACAGTTTCTCTGTGTATAAGTCACATTAATTCCCTTTTGTCTCTCCTTGTCTTTTTGCACCAACCTATGGAACAATTTCCTGAAATTCCACTATTTATTTCCTCAATATGAAATGAAACTTGATAAATTACAACATAAAAATGAAACTATACATAATGCTGAATGAGTGAAAACAACAGAAAACCAAGACAAACAACCTAGCATCAATAAGCAACACACCTACCTTGAATAAACTCTCCCTTGCATTTTCTTCATTATTGGGATTGATTAATTTAAGAAATAGTGATTTCCTAAAATATGCTAGTCCTGATTTCAAGAAAGCCACTAAAATCCACTCTCACTGACTGCCAAAACAGAATTTAACGCACTGTTTTTCCAACTCTTCTCTTTCATAGTATCTAAAACTGAATTAAATCATATATACCTGAGGAACAAAATGTGAAATTGCATGATTTTCACAGTGCATGAGAAAATTCCATCTCTCTAATAAGAAGATGCTTTAAAGGAAGTACACAAAATCACTCTTGCAGCAGCCTTTCCAGAATAAAACAATGGGATTTTCAATCCCAAAATCAAATTACCCTGGTGACTGGACTCCCAACATTTTAATAAATATTCAGTCTCATCAAATTAAGACCAAAAAACTGATTAGAGATATGAAATTCAAGATGCCCTGTTTCTTTGTGGTTACGTTTTTCTCAGACAGGTGATGGTTAAAACCCTCAAATATAGAGTTTTGACAGCTTAAAAACCTGGTGTGTATAAAGACATCACTTTAAAATCTGACCAATACTTTCAGAATCGGGTACTATAATTTTCCCCTTGAAGATTAAAGTCCCTGAATTAAACTTATTTGCACAGAGTTTCAGAAGATAAGGGTGAAAAAATCTGTATCCCAAATTCTCTGGCTGACATAAAAGGCAATAAAGTTTCTCTTAGCCTGTTATCATGTTATGATAGATAACTTCAAAGATAAGCCTCCTATGATGTAGAAAACGTTTACCAAATTGAAAGTGCTTAAACAACAGTTATGGACTTTCAAGACTCCTACTGAGGTCACAAGAAACATTTTTCAGTAGAACAAAAGACTGTGCTCAGTTACTTGTTGAGGAGGAAAGGTAAGACTATAGTTGCACCTGTTGGAAAACCACTGTCATCACCTCACCACATGTTGAGACTCAAAATGTTACCATTTTGAGTAAATGGTAACTGCTGGGCCTTCAAGAGTGTTTGAAGAGCTTTCAGGGAAGAAACAAACAAACAAACAACAAAACAACCTAGCATTGTCTCTGCTTTCAGAATAGCACAGAACTCGTTTTAAATTATGAAAATGTGTCACTGAATAAGCATACCTTCCTACGATGGGATGGCACAATAAAATATGTTTCAATATTATGCTTCTTCAAGAAACTATTCCTTTCATGACCGTATCCTGGTTCTACCTCGTAGTCCCCATTTAGGCACTCTAAGGTGGTCTTTGTAATGTGAACTTTCCTGGAGAGAAAATTAGACATTATTGTTTAAAGCAAAGATACATTATGAGCTTCTTGCTACCAAAATACACTCCTCACAGAAGTTAATAAAGAGGTCAACAGGTCAATTTACATGCAAGACCGTAGGTTTGAAATAAAAAAAAAAAAAGGTAAGTCTTGTACTTTTAGCCAAATTGAACACAGCCAAAAATTCTATTGCATGCATTTTCTAAACTTAGGCAAAGTGAACAGAAAGGTAACTGTTGACTATCCAAACACTTGCAGATTTGCTGTTTTGTAGAAAGTGAGTGTCTGCACATGATCTTCTACATTGTGTGGCCTTCTTAAGTTTTATCTCAACATCTGCTTGGAAAAACATCCTGCTGTTTGAAACTTATGACATCACACTCCAAACCTCTCTTGTGTATAAAACAGAAACTTCTTTTTCTGTTTCACTTCACATCTTTGACTCATATCATTCATCCCCTCCGTTTTGTAGGCAGCTTTCTGACTCACTATGTTTTGGCAATACAGCAGTCTCTATTATTTTTGAGTTTTTTATCTTGAACATTTTTCATATTTCACATTTTCTCCTGAAAGACCCCATATATTTGAAATGTCTTCAGAAAAGGTATCTGAAAAAATTTTTCTGCTTTCCTCTATAAACATGTGTTTAGATTTTTTCCCACTGGGTAACTTTAAGATAATGAACCCATAAAATACACTGACAAAATTATCTAAAGTGGATGTATGCAATAAATAGAAATTCATCATTATAACAAAATAAATTAATTGGTTCCTTTGTCCTTCTGTACAGCAATCAAGATCTCACAAAAATCAAAAACAATATGGCAGGTCCTAGTCGAAATGTGAGCTACACACAGAACACCCATCCACCTTTGCAAATGTTCACTGTGTGTATTTAAATTGTGTCCGAGGCTGTGCAATGAGTACTTAAAGTTCCAGGACATACCCCATGGGTTGGCTGCAGGTTTATGTGCTACTGTATCATTTGCAAATGTCATCAATATCTGAGTTCATAAACAGGTATGTCCTTTCTATAGCGTACAACTAGTGTTGGAAATCAGGTCATGTAAAAGGAGCAAGATATTCCACTCCCCCCTAAAATTATAGAGGTGTGTAAAGGTAAAAAATTCCTGGTATGGCTACAGTGTTTTATTTTTGTAACATGAAATGATCAAAGTCTAACATTCTTATATTCCTAATATTGTCTCATTCCTCCTTTTTATATCCAGCAACTTCCAAAACCAATTTTGCTTGAAAATGCTTTACTTCTAATCTAAGCTATTGATTATACAAATATCAAGATCATTGGGAAAATTCCACAGGATAAATCACATAATGCATTGATTGCTCTTGCCAAACACAATCCTTTTCATCAATAGCAATTATGTTGCAAATGCCTTAAAAAATTGAAGAAATTCTTCACCTATAGCGTTTTCTATTTTTTTTCCCTATGGTTTTTTTTCAGACTTACCCAGGCAGTCCTCCAGCTTCCATTACATTAGCTAATGTCACATCATTTGACCAGACATCATATTGCCATTTTCGGAGACCCAGGACCCCACAAAGCACCCTGCCTGTATGCAATCCAACTCTCATGTTGAGATCAACCTCTGTGGCTTCTGCAACAGATCTGTAATGGACAGCATCAGAAATAATATTTAGATGACGACTGCTCTTCATTTTCTCTCCTCCCAAAATTAACACATATATTTATACATGACTGAATAGAAAGGGTCTTATAAAACCTGAAATGCTATATTCAGGTACTGTTCTCTACCTTCACTAGTTTCAAAGCCCTAATTGCAATTAAAAAGAATTTATTGGTTATATTTAAATTACTGTGTAAACCAAAATATCAGTATTTCTAAATTTCTTGACCATTTATATGAGGAAAGAAGCACTAATTGAGATTGCCAATGTATAAATAATTATTCCCAATCTACTATGTTCTAATTGGTTCAATAATCAGGTACGAGAGTACAGGACAAAGAAAATGACAAAAGTAACAAATCATTGTAAGAACAGCAGAGTGATTATAAACATTAATATCGTTCCAAAACTCCTGTAAGAGTGGCACCTAAACAACTTGTAGCTAGTCTTGCACCTTTAAATAAAATCTAATGTTCAGACATTTTCACTGCCTAGCTGGTAAAGGATGAATAATTCTGCAAAATTGTTATTAAAATAATATTTTTTGGTGCCACAATAAAGAAAGATTCTTCATTTCTGTGAATGAAGGGCATGCTATGACTTGCATTCTGCACAGAGTTGAGAACACTGAAAAGGCACCTGGAAACTTACGCTCTTAAATATTACATGTTATTAAATTACACTGTACACAGATTTTTTAAATCTCTTTCTGTTAGACAAACACCTGTCATTCCACAGTCCAGTTGCTGTCCAAAAACTGATATTATCTCTGAATAAAGGAAACCGACTATCACTGTAAGAATTTATTTTCACTTGACTTTCCTAATTTGAATTTTCCAGTGTATTTAATAGAAGACTTAAAATGCGACTCTAGCTATCATTTTCTCTTTGGTTTCATTGACCAATTTTTTTTTCAAATGTCATCCAGTTACACTGTAATTTGAGAGATGCCTTTAGAAAGACTTATTTATTTCAGAAGTTGTACTTGTTTAAATACAATTAACAGAAAGGTGAGCATAGATCAAGATGTGGGATGTGCAGCAAAGATATCTGGCCTCAATTTAAATAAGAAACCCTTCACCTATGCAGGTACATTCTATGTCAGCCATCACTAATGTCAGTAACATGGAGATCTCTTTTGTCTGCACAGGGCATCTTGGCATAACATATTTTTCAGTCATATTCTATGCAACAGCACAGAAAGACTTATGCACAGCTTTCTGAAAGGTTAAATATTTCCTTGTCCTATTCCTACTCACTGCAAGTCAGCTCTCCCTCACTTAGTATCTGTTCCCAGTCAAGCCTTGAATATGACTTCAAGGAGTCCTAAAAGGATTCTAGTGTTACAAAGCTTTGTTGTGCACACGGTTTGACAGATCTTTGAGGAAATGAAAGACCCTAATACCATAAGCCACATAACAATAAGCGAGCACACTTTGTATGTTCAACCTGAGCACTGTATTGTGTCATTAACAGATTGACCTTACACCAAGCCCACACCTTGCAAGACAAAGTCCTTCAGGATTATACCTTGCCTGCCTATGTTCTCCTGCATAATTAAGAATCTATGTAACAATCTTAATTAATGAACCTGCAAAAGTTTGGGTTTCTCTGTTCACAAATGAGTGTGGCTTTTTTTGTTAGTTCCCTCCCTCCTTCTCCATTTAAAAAGTATATAAAACCTCAGACTAAATGTATGTGGAAAGACATTGAAACCAGACACTGATAAATTCACTCAAGGCTTTGACATTGCTTTGTCTGACTGGGGTAAACTTAGGCCCCTTTTATAAATGTTAATAGAATAACAAAAAGTAAATTAAAAAAGATGAGCAGAGAAATACAACACGGCTGACCATACTCCTTGTTAAATAAGCTGAACTGTATAATGCACCAATGAACCATAAAGCAGAATCTGAAAACACTTTATGTTTTGAGCAAAAATTTTCCATAAATAGTCACTTAGTCAAAAATCTAAAACAAAAATACATTTTTACATCTTCCCCAGAAGGTACAATGTGTTTCAGAGATGCTTTCATCATTATTAAATTTGAGTAGAAAAAAAAAAGCTCAGGAGTTCATTACGTATTTTGAGTTTATCTTGTAGTCCTTTGTGCTCTTTATGTAGATAATTTCCATAAATAAACCCTGCTGAACTATCAAAAATGAGGAATATTAGGTAATATATAAAGAAGAGGCTTCAAATTCAGAGCAGTACAATGATTATGTTCATGCCAGTTCAAACGTTTCCAGGCTCTGGACTTTTAGATGACCAGGGGAAGAGTTTCAAGAGTGTTGGCATTAGGGAAGTTAATGCTTCTGTCTATTTCCTCAGACAAAAATCACACAGGAAGACTTGATATTTCCATTGTACTTATGCAAATGAGCTGCTGTAGCTCCTCTCCCTTTGCTAGTGCTTTTGGTCAGCCAATGACCAAACCCATGAAAAGGAGAAAGTTTGAGCATCAGCTTCTCCATTGCAAAAACCTCCCCAGGTGCAAATATGCCCAGCTTCCATCTGTGAGGTTTTACATTATGAGTGGTGGAGTCATTCACAATTAGGTGGAGTGATCCATTCAGGATAAAATTACCTATGTGTCACAGAAAATAGCTGATAGACCCCACTGGGTTGCCCAGTTCTCAAGAAGTAAAAGTTCATGGGCCTCAGTTTCCTTCAGACCTCTTCAAAGCCCACATGCAGCAACAACATTCAATCAGAAGGTCAGATGAAACTAATTCTAAAGTAACCCTTCCCCTCCTCACCACAGTGTAGGTTGGACTAAAACAGCAGCAGTTGCTGTGATCTACAGATGTGCTCCTACTGTACCATGTTTCCTGCTACTACACACAGTCAGTGATGCAGCTAGTGATGTAATTCCCACAGAGTCAGTACTAAAATGGCATCCTAGTAATGTGTTAACAGATGGAGCATCGTGAAATGTACTGTCTGTGTGACAACAGGAATGATTATGGATTCCATTAAAGTTTTGAAAAGTTTATGAATGTTAACCTGAGTATTTTGACCCAGTCCAAAATTTATATACTGCTCACTCAGAATCTCTCTTTATTTTCAATTGGAAACATTACAGATTATTTCTCGCTCTGCAATATTACTGAATGCAGGTAAATAAGTGTGTAATTTCACCACATTTCATCTCCTAAGAGGAGTTGCTGTAGTGAGCCAAAGAATTGTTTAATATGATTTGTATCCAATGATGAAGTACTGTCTAAGGAAAGACAAAACTAGTAAGAAAGTATAAAATTCCCCCAATAACGCTTTCTTAAAACAGAACTCTAGACAGCTTTTGGAGGAGAGAGGGAGGGAAGAGCTTTGTTAGCTAGCCATAACTTTTCTACATGGCAGTTAGCTAACAAATATATCTATTTAGAAGGTAAAACACTGTAGTACATGAGAATGAAATTTCAAATGTGGAAATCAATTTAAGTAAGGTGAAGAGAGTGCTTGGCCTAACACAATGTTTATAACGAAGGTGAAGACATCGGCCACATTTAAAAAATACATGACATATTAGAAGCATTAATGAATATGATCATTTTAATTATATTACTAGCGAAAGTGCGACAGTCAAAACTCATATGGTAGGAGCAGCAATGGTGGTATTGAACACTTCATTCATTGCTGTGGCACTTTAAGTGACTCTAAAGTAGAACAAACACCAGGCTGTTCTAAGTCACTGACAGAATGGCTGCAGAAGTTCTTTTGGAATAAAATCAGAATATAACACTACCTGTGTTATATTTTTAAGTTTTTAAGAATAAAAAGTTCCTCCCATAATTATTTTGATTCTGTTCCCTTGAAGAAAACACTTTGAGGAAGGTGGATGAAATTGTGAAAATTATAATTATGATACTTTGAAAATTATGTTCTCTGATGATACTTTCAGCACCATATTGAAGGAACCTAAAATAACACTTATGCAGAACATGAAGAAAATAGAATGTATCAGTTTATGTGAACACATTCAACTCAGTCCAATTACAGAACCAACAATCAGCTATGGAATTTTTTATTCCTTGATTTTCCAGAAAAAAAACCCTGGCTCTTGTTAGTACATATCTCTGGGATGGACACTTTTGACAGATCCATCCCATGAATATAAGTTCAAGTGATTTTATTTATTTATTTATTCATCCCAGGTAACAGGACAAACTTATCACTAGGGAAGACAAATTTCACGCATAAATTTACAGTGACAAGACCTGAATTTTACAGTAAAGTGAATAGACTTAAAAAAGACTACCAGCTGGCATCCACCTCTGCATGAAAGGGGGAAGTTTAAAAAATGTGACTTTCTATCTCATGGAACTAATAAGCAAAGCTTAATAATCATATCAATACAGTATAAAATGCTGCATTCCAACTTCACTATCAGAAGATCCTGATTTCTCCTTTTAATTTACTAAACACATTTTAAAACAAATTAGTCTGGCAAATCTATCTTCTAACGTTGGTTTCTGTGAAGGAGAGAGACTGATTGTGCTTATGCACAAAGATTGCAGAATATATCCCTAGCTATCAAACAGCCTTGAGTAGATCTGGCTTTATCTTGAAACCTTGCCTCTTGCCGATCTTGCTCTCTCACCATACTCTGACCACTAACTACACAAAAGACCTACAATTTATGAATTCTTAAAAAAATTAAATCCTGAAATGGCCAGTTGTTTTCTACTATAACCTGTGACTAAACATGCCTAGATAACATACTACAGCTCATCCACATAAAATTGCAAAGTTGCTGATGCTGCAAGGGCCTCTGGAAATCACCTAGACCAACATACTTGCTCAGAGAACAGCCAGCTACCGAAGTTTGTCCAGATCTGTGCCCAGCTGGGTTTAAATCTCTCCATGGGCACAAATGTCACAACTTTTCAGTGGAACCTCTCCAGTATCTGACTACCTGCACAGTAAAAAAAAAAAAAAAAAAGTTTTTCTTCTAATGAAATTGAATTTCTTACATTTCAGTTTATGCCCATTTCCTCTTGTGCTGGCACTGGATGTCATTGAGAAGTTTGGCTTTGTCCTCTTTACTCCCTCACTCTAGGTATTTATCTGCTTTGATAAGAATCCCTCTAAGCCTTCTCTTCTGCAGGCTCATTCTTTTCTAATTCGACTCCTTTTCCAAGTTTATATTATCATGTCAGTAGCCAGTAAAATATACCCTAAAAATGGAATATGTTCTTTTCTAATAGTAAAACTGAAATATTCTAAAGAGGAAAGTTCCAACAGTTATACTAATACATGTATATACAGCATTGTATATACATGTACACATGTAATATACAGCACAACTAACTAATTAAAGATCAATGCTAGGTTTAAAAGAGGATAACAGCATCATCTATTGCTTTCCAGGGATTTAAAGAAACCCAAAAAAACCCAAAAGGCTTTTGAAAAATGTGTACAAGACCTGTATATCTAATGTTTTCAAAGGTCAGGACTTCCTTAAAAATGGAGAATGCATATACTGCTGAAAGAATACATATATTCTTTTAGGGTTTTATATTACCATAGACTATCATAAATTATAGATTAAGAAATTAAAAAATGTTTTATCAATTTCATAATGCTTACAAATGTGATGAACTTGCATTGAATAAGGGAGAAAATGAATTAATTTACCCAACTTTTCACACTCTGAGAGATTTTGTAGTATGTTTAGCAAATGAAAAGGAGAAGTGGGCAATACAGTAGTGAAGAAATTTTCCATCTTTATCCTTTCCCTCCTACATAATAAAACAGATCTCCAGCTGCAGCTAAAAGCTTATTCACACTTCTCTCACGTCCATATTTTTTGCCTTGGCAAAATAATGATCAATGTAGACCTCTCAAGCATAAACAAAAATCTGAGCAGCAAAGTAAATTTCATGTTACATTTCTGAAAAGCAGAATAAATTAAAGGTTTAAACATTACATTAAAATGGAATAATCAACAGGCTGTGATTCTAAGCCTTCAAACACATATACAACAGGCATACATCAGAACTGGTTTTGACTTTACATACTGTTGTGCAAAATGAGCAATGTTTATCACTGCAAAGCAGCACAATTGACTCATTTTGTTGTGGCAATAGGCAATAGGGTATATTTTCTTATTTCCAATTATCATTCTGCCACCTATTCAGTACATGTATGTGCCTCTATATACTCAATTTGCACACTTACTTCTTACAATGATTAAATAGTGTGGAAAATCAATGTCTAGAGTGGCCATTCCTGAAATCAGGGTCCTGTGGTATGCATGAAAGAGTGACTTGCTAGATGAGTAGTGCTAATAGGCATTGATGTTGTTCTAAGAGCACACTTACTGAACACTACATAAGAGCTGTTGCAACACTCCTGTCTGGGTTCACCATGCATGGTACTTACGTGATGGTGTCAATCATATCCAGTCCCATTTCAACACAACAATGGGCATGATCTGTTTTGGGCTGGGTCAATCCTGATACACAGTAGTAACAGTCCCCTAGGATTTTTATTCTTCTGCAATGATTTTCCTTTCATAAAAACAGAATGGGAAAAATTTTACTATTTATATAAATATTTCAATACAGGGTAAAAATCTTCTCCAGTACTATGCAATTATTCAGAGAATCTTTTTGTGATCAAATGAGGTAATTTACAGTTCATGAAATCTGGGTTCTCAGTACACAACAGCTGACACATATTTGTTTATTTATTTATAAATAGACACATATATACTGGACATCAGCCCTGCATTGTTCAACACGCATGGGTTAACACTGCTTAAAGATATAGTTCTGAACAAATATTATTGCCTTGCCCTCATGCTAGGTTCATATTAATTCAAGATTTGCAATGAGACTTCATTTCTATATGAACTCAAACCAAAGGACTAAGGCCAAACCACAGCTGGATATTGGGAAATGCTTGCATTCTGAGAAGCTTTTGTTTCAAATTCAGTTCAAATTCAGCAGGAAAGATTATTTATTTATCTGTAAAGGTACACACATTTGCATTACCTATTCATAAACCACAGTTTGCAATACAGCATAATCACTATGACAGACTTGCAGATGAGAAGCTAGTCAGTTTGCATTACAATTAAATTTATCTCCTATTTGTATGAAGTTTAATTTCTACAGCCAAAGAACTCTGGTAAAAACTCTCCCATTAAAAAATAAAAATTATGGCATGTGATAATTGCTACATCCATCTGAGCAGAAAGTTAATTTCTAAACAGAGAGCGCATAAAATAATGTCTTTAAAAGAGCAGTACCTTTAACTAATGAACTATGAGGAGACATGAAGAGATGATGGTATCTTTCGCAACTAGACTATGGCAACTTCTACCCATTTAGCATTTGGCACAAAAACGTAAAGAACCTGATTAAATGAATCCAACTTACAAAACTGGAATTATTCCAGTAAGCACCATGAAAAATTAACTATTGTGAATATGATGGGAGTGGATCCACAAAAGTCTGACTCTTTTCCCATCAGTGTGCAATATAGACTTTGGCAACACAGGAAGGGAAAAAAAAAAAAGAGAGGGCAGTGATGAAGGAATTTAAAATTTCTGGAAAAAAAAAATCTAATCATAGAATCATACTCATTCAGCTCCTCATGCAGACATATATTTTCATCCAGTCTCCTGCCTACAAGAATTAAAGCCTTCCTGAGTTGACCACATCATTACCCACATTCCAGCTCAGAAGAAATTATTATGCATACAGTGATCTTTTCTCTCTGACATGTCACTGTGTACACCACCATTAGAGGCTTGTTGCTACACACACTTCCTGCTGCAGGCAATCCCACGGCTCTCTACTTTGTAAATGGTACTCAGTATTGAAAAAGTAGTATAAATAAGAACTACCTCTGTTCACACATGGAAGAAGGCACAGTTTGGGAAAGTTGGCTTGTCTACTCCTTTTTATAAATTAAACTGCAAATTCAGACCTCAAATCAAAGAGGAGACCTGTTTTTTTGGGTATGCTTAAGTAGTAGAAAAGGCTTTTCCAGTTGTGACTACTTGACGTGTGCTCTTCTGTACATCAGGATTTTAAATATTCCACTAATTAACATTGTTAATATATATTTTAATGCATATAAGCATAATTCTTTTTAGGTGGATTATCACCAGGGCCCTAACAGTATTTCTGCAGCCTATATCCAAAAATGTCTCACCAATTTTACTCAGACTTTTTTGAAATCCTTCGCTAAATGCTGTTATATAAGTAAAAAATTATTGATGCACACAAAGTAATATGCATATCTCAAAATCTTCTTTGATACAGAACAGTCCTTTTAATTCAAGGTATTTGGACACTAATTAGTATATTTTTTAATGGAAATCACATGTTTTTTACTAGATACCACTAGATTATACTCTCAAAAAGGGCTTCCCCCATCCCCCCTCAGTTTTGGGCAGGTCTTGAAGCACTAGAGTATACTCAATAATTAAAGCTGAAGCTTGCTTTCCAAAACAAATTCAGGTTTGGCCCATACTTCAAAGTCTTCTATAAGGCCCTTTTCATCTTCCAGTTTGGTTTGCATGATTTGTGGCCAGACAATGGCTATTTGACCCTTAGGAAAGCTATTCAGAAAAGCCATTTCAGTAATCTGGGGTGAACAACACATAAATGTTAATCAATCAATCAATCTCTCCTATTAGTGTCTACCTCACAAATGGCTCATTTCTAATGACTTGATAACAAGCTGGTAGACAGTTAAAGAATAAAATTTAAAAAACCAAAACAAAACAGAGTTTACTCCATTACCACTTTTCTGAGTCAATTTCTTATTTGTGCAGGAGAAAAATAAAGGAAAAAGAAAATAAGTGCAACAGTAATTTCTGGAGATATATTTATCTTGATGAAAGACATATGGCTAAATCACCTTCTGGTTTTGAAATCACTAGCCTGTTTGTTCCTTATCAGATATTATCCTCACTGTCCTGCTTTATTAATTAATATACAGTAATCTCTAGAAAAATTGTTGTTTTCTTTTTCTTGACATGTGAGGTAAACTTCCAGGAGAGACCCACAGTGCAGCTTTGAAAAAGCCATCTTTTTAAGGACTGGTATGCAAATCAATAAAAAAACCCCTCCTCTGTCTTTGTTATATTTTCTCAGCAACTTCCAAAAAATCCTTCTCTTGTCAATATTTTTCACATTTGTGATGCTGATGAATTAATGTGTGATAGTTACAAATTCCAGTCACAACTGACACAAGCAATGTCTGTTTAGAAACAACAGATAATTTGGTTTTATGGACATGATAAAAAGCACTAGACACTGCCAGCACTGCATTAGGCAGGCAGCTTGCCCACCTGTGGTGCCTTACTAAGACATTTCCAAGTGGATTGGCAGAAATCCCTCAGGCACAACTGTCAGTCACAGGGTCAGACAGCGTGTAGTGGAAGCCCAAAGCAGAAAGCAGAGGACTTTAAAGTTACTAAGAGCTTTTTTCACACTTTCAGGAAAGCACTTCATAAAGCAGTTTATTCTATCTGTTATGTAAGACCGGGGAGGGGGGAGGGGGCCACTTTGTTGCAAACAACTCTGAGGTTTTGTTGTTGTTGTTGTAGTTCTTTATTTAATACATTTTGCCTAAAGAATGAAGTCTGTCAACTCAGACTGAAAAACTGAAAATTCAGAACATTAACTTCACATTCTTGTGCCATACAAGACAAATCTTTGATATACCCAGGATAAGGTTATTTTTTTAATAAAAAGGGAAAAGATTTTACAGTTTGTAAAAAAAAGCTTATACATAATACTTGTATATGTTGTGTCAAAGAAATAATAAAGAAGGTGTCAGACTTCTCCCAGCAAAACCCATAAGAATGACAGTCAGATGTTCTCTAGGACAAAGAGATTGTACTGAATAAGTGCAAAGTCATTTAAAGAAGGATCTTTCTCACATGTCAGATTGCAACAATTCTTATTATCACTGCTGGAACTTTGTTTTTATTAATAGGCTATCCAAGTAAGTAATTGTTATGTGAATAGATTCAAAATCAGGATTAATTTTTGTTGCTTGTAAGTCTGTCTGGTAGGAGAAGAATTTCTTTAAAGCTTTTATTTATTTTGAATATGGCAGACGCTAATGCTGGAATGAGTCCCTGGTCTTCCTTCTGTCATTGCAACAATCTATGTATTTGTACATAATCATGTGTCATCATGGCATGAGCCAAAAAGGAAGATCAGATAGACTACAACTTTAAAACACAAGATTTTAAAAACATAAACATTGAACTCTGTCTTGTAACTCCATTGACTGCAGTGGAATTGTGCCAAGGCTGAGTCTGACCCTGTGTAACTTAATTGCAGTATATTTTATACTTATTATATTAATCCATTTCTTTGTCTACAAGTCTGACAGCAACCTGATCTGCATGTATGCTTTTCATTTTTATTGTCTTAACCTCCTGGAATCACAATCTATGAGCAGGTGTGACTTTAATAAATCAGAAAGATTTTTTTTGCCATTCTTAGTAAATCTGCACCATCTAAGGCTTAAAAAGTTTCTTCACCATATCTAGCCAATATGGGTTTGGTTATGCTTTGCAGAGTAAGAGAAAGGGTTAACGATGCTTACAAAGAAATGCACAAGTGGTGTTTCCCATTTCCCCCGACTCAGACCCTACCAGACTTGCAATGCCTTATAATGCTATGGACTTTAGAAATAGTAATATTTTGTTTTGCTCGGCCTACATAAAGGGGAACAGGATTTTGATCACTGCCTACAGTGCTTAGTGATTGCAAAGTTAGAGTCTTAAAGAAAAAAAAAAAAAAGAAAATACAAAACCAAAGGCCATACATGTTCAGGTTCACTATTTAAATGCTGGGGGGAAAGGGAGGAGATTTATTAGGCCTGGACTTACAGATGGCTTTATGGTTTTAGGGAAGGCTTTGACATCCTCACTATATGTCAGACTTCAGCTGTGGTGAGATCTCTGGATATTGATTAGGTATAGCTGCAAATTAGTACAGGAGCAGCCCTACATGCAGCAGAAAAGTGGAATGAGATGTATTCAATGGCAGCACAAGAAACAGTTTTGGAGCTCAAAACCCCAGCATGCCTCTGTGGGGGGAAAAACATTGCCCTACTCCCTGAAAAAAATTTTGCTAGCTCAATATTTTCTTCACATATTGAAGAGAAGTTGCAGATAGAGGGAAACCACTAAATGCAAATTTCTGATGGCTCAGTTTTCACTAGAGTAGAAAAAACCCTAGGGCAAAATAGTGAAATATGAGGGCTGAAGAAGGAACATAGATGAGTCTTTTAGCTCTGCTGTCAAGAACTTCATCATTAGGGCCAGGCAATGCCACAGAGAGGCATGGTCACCTTCCCTTACAGATGTTCAATGAGACAAGAGGATTATCAGTGACCCCTCAGAACAGGAGCCTTCATGGAAGTCTTAGTGGGGTTTTTTCCCTTCATATTTCTCTTTTCTATTTCCTTCTTCTTGGATTATCAGTCTCTTTCATTTAAAAAGCCATGTTCCAACAGCTTCCTTTGTTGGAGG